GTGGGACACTCACGTATCATATACTGATTAAGGATCATGCATTTATGTAAAACACTAGGAAATCATAGGTTTGTTTATCCCTGGGATGTTGATAGTCATGGTTTCATTTTGCTTCACTTGATGATTTGGTCAAGATGAGGGAAGTCTCTCTCCTTAGCTAGTTGATACCAGTGGTTTCCAACTGCCCTGAGTTTAAGAAGCCTGGGACCCTTGTTTTTACAGATCTTTTTCATGTGGATCGTTTTTAAAGTCTTTACTGAATTTGTTACAATATTGCTTCTATTATGTTTTGGATTTTTTGGCCATGGTGGATGTAGGATCTCAGCTTCCTGACCAGAATTGAACCTGCACCAATTCATGAGTTTTTGAAGTGCAGTTCAATGAGTTTTGACATATGTATATATATAGCGATGAAAGCATCAGCACAAATAAGGTCATAAACACATCCATTGCCTCCCAAAATTTCTTTGTATCTCTTGGTAATCCACATCTCCCCTCCCATCCCCAGGCAGCAACCTGAAGTATAATTAAGAAAAGATAACTTTTCTTTTTTCATTAGAATAGAAATTTTATGAGTGAAACTTGAAAAATATAAATGGTTAAAAAAAAAGAAGGAAATGAAAAATCCTATTTGTGTAAAACAACAATAGAAAATACACTATTCTCATGTGTTTGAGATGTGGGGTTTGGGATATTATTTTCTTGCAATGTTTAGTCTTTTGTTTTTTTTTTGACCACCGGGCTCAACGTATGGGGATCTTAGCTCCCTGACCAGGGATCAAACTGGTGCGCCCTGCAGTGGAAGCTCAGAGTGCTAATCACTGAACCACCAGAGAAGTCTCTAGAACATGTCAGTATCTGGTGGTACTCAGGGAGAAACTGGAAGTGATTTAGAGGCATCTATATGAAGTTTGTGAGCTTCCCTGGTGGTTCAGACGGTAAAGCATCTGCCTGCCATGTGGGAGACCTGGGTTCAATTCCTGGGTCGGGAAGATCTCCTGGAGAAGGAAATGGCAACCCACTCCAGTATTCTTGCCTGGGAAATCCCATGGATGGAGGAACCTGGTAGGCTACAGTCCATGGGGTCGAAAAGAGTCGGACATGACTGAGCGTCTTTACTTTCTTTCACTTTCTATTTGAAGTTTGTGGGGAAAATGCAAAACATTTTCTGTAATCTGGAATTATATTAAAGTACACCCTATTAGGAAAAACTGAAGATTGAATATTTATAAAACTCAATAGTAGGTTTTTATATTTATAAATGAGAAGTTTGAACTTGCTTCTGTGAACATTAGTTCTTCTTATCAAAGCTGTTCGAGATATAATTCATGTAACATACAATTTACCCTTTGCAAGTGTACAGTTCAGAAGATTTTAGTATTTTTTTCACAAGACTACAACCATCACCATGAATTCCAGGACATTTTCATCATCCCCAAAGAAACCTTGTACCCATTAGTGGTTACTTCCCATACCCTCCTTCCCTCTGAACCTGGCAACCACTAATCTACTTTTTGTCTCTATGGCTTTACCTATTCTGGACGTTTTATATAAATGAAATCTTACAATAGATGGTCATTATGTCTGGCTCCTTTTACTTAATACAGTTAAGTCCCCTACACACAAATTCCATTTCAAGAGCAATTTCGTTAAGTTCAATGAAGTTAGTTAGGTACCCAACTAATGCAATCAGCTATACAGTACTTTTTGACCATTTCCAATTTACCTTGATTCATGGACCTAACATTCCAGATTCCTATGCAAGATTCTTCTTTACAACATCAGACTTTACTTCCGTCACCAGTCACATCCACAACTGGGTGTTGTTTTCGCTTTGGCTCCATCTCTTCATTCTCTCTGAAGTTACCTTCCCATTCTTCTCCAGTGGCATATTGGGCACCTAGCAACCTGGGGAGTTCACCGTCTCAGTGTCCTATCTTATTGCCTTTTCACACTGTTAACGGGGCTCTCAAAGCAAGAACACTGGTTTGCCACGCCCTTCTCCAGTGGATCACATTTTGTCAGAACTCTCCACCATGACCCTTCCTTCCTGGGTGGCCCGACCGGGCATGGCTCATAGTTTCATTGAGTTAGATAAGGCTGTGGTCCATGTGATCAGTTTGGTTAGTTTTCTGTGATTGTGGTTTTCATTCTGACTGCCCTCTGATAGATAAGGGGCTTCTGGAAGCTTCCTGATGGGAGAGACTGACTGTTGGGGAAACTGGGTCTTATTCCGATGGGTGGGGCGGTGTTACCTCCCTGTTGTTTGACCTGAGGCCAAACTGTGTTAACTAACGGTAATGACTGTAATGGCCATCTCCTTCAAAAGGACTTGTCCATGCACAGCATTACTTTGCTGACAAAGGTCTCTTGGTCAAAGCTATGGTTTTTCCAGTGGTCACGCATGGATGTGAGAGCTGGACCATGAAGAAAGCTGAGCACCGAAGAATTGATGCTTTTGAACTATGCTGTTGGAGAAGACTCTTGAGAGTCTCCTTGGACTGCAAGAGATCCAACCAGTCCATCCTAAAGGAAATCAGTCCTGAATATTCATTGGAAGGACTGATGCTGAAGCTGGAGCTCTGATACTTAGTCCACCTGGTGCGAAGACCTGACTCGTTGGAAAAGACCCTGATGCTGGGAAAGATTGAAGGCAGGAGACGGGGATGACAGAGCTTAAGATGGTTGGATGGCATCACTGACTTGATGGACATGATGGACCTGATGGACTCCTGAGTAAGCTCCAGGAGCTGGTGATGGACAGGGAACCCTGGTGTGCTGCAGTCCATGGGGTTGCAGAGAGTCAGACACAACTGAGTGACTGACCTCAACTGATACAGTGCTGTACTGTAATAGGTCTATAAAAGTTTTCACACAAATAGTGCATTAAAAACAAACACAAAAATCAAGGAAAATATTTTTAAACTTATGGTACAGGACCTAGGACAGTACAACAGCTGGCATTAAGGGGCTGGCATCGAGTGAACAGGCAAGAAGAGTGACTGATGGAGGAGGGAGAAGACAGTAACACTGAAGGATCACCAGCAATAGGAGGTGGAGGGCGAGCTGCAATTTCTCTCACCCCTGATGTTGTTGGCACAGGTTCTGGTTCCTTGCTAGATTCAATTCTATCCACCCTCTTGCTTCCAGACACCCTGGGCTTGAAATAAAGATACCATACTACTGTACTCTATACAGTACTATACAGTACATAAAAGCACTACTTACAGAAGATGCACACGTGACAATATATGCCAGACACGTGAGCCACCTTACGCGACTGCACATTCAAACACGCATTCCCACCTTGAAAGTTCGGACTTGGAGGTTAAGTCATAGTATTTTCAGGGTCCGTCCATGTTGTGGAATGTATCAGTAAGTCATTCCTTTTTGTAGTTGAATAATATTCCATTGAATGGATAGATTACATTTTGTTTATCCATTCATCAACTGATGGACATTTGGTTGCTTTACTTCTCTATTATGAATAATTCTGCTATAAACATTCAAGGACAAATCTTTCTGTGGACCTATGTTCCTAATTTCCTTGGGTGTATACAAAGGAATGGATGTGGGTAACTCTTGTTTTAAGCTGTTTGAAGAAATGGCCAGACTGTTTTCCAGAGCAGCTGCACCATTTCATATTCCCATTTGCAATGCATTCCAATTTCTTCACATTCCTCTTGTCCTTTAGGGTCAAGTGGTATATCTCGTGGTTTTGATTAGCATTTTCCTGATGACTAATGATGATCATCTTTTCAAGTGCTTGTTGGTCATTTGTGTATCTCTTTTGGGCAAATGTCCATTCTGACCCTTTGCTCATTTTAAAAATTGGATTGTCTTTTATTTTTGAATTATAGGTTTATAGTCTTAAATACACCTTCCTATGGAATCTACTTTCTATGGTAAACAAATCAATTATGCTAAACCCCTACATTAAACATAGTGTACTCACTTTAAACAGTCTAAAATGACAGTGGAGTGAAAAACTTTGTTTCAAAAGCTTTCATGATTTAAAAACCTGGAGAACCACCTAAAGCTCTTATTCCTTTAGTCGTTCTATTCATCAATGACATGATCTTTGAAAGCATGCCTCACTTTCTTTTCTGTACTAGTAACTACATCACTTACTACTAGAGACGTATACTCCAGTTCAAATCCAGCGGCAGTACCTACAAAGTCAATTTACTGCCTCAGGTATGTTTGACAATGACCTGAAGTTTTATAGTCTTTTCTCCTGAGCTTCCTCCCCTTTAGGTAAGTAAATCTATGTAGGGTGAGGAGTAATCTGGAGGAATAAGGAAAGGCTATGGGAAATAAGTATTTTCTTGCCTCCAGCGTGCAGGATTGGATCCAGGGCTTCTCTAAATGATGGTGGTTAATTTCCCTCAACAAATGTATGCTAATTCAGTGATCTGGAACCTTGGGCCATGGAATCAATTATTTTATTTCTGATTCAAGGGTCTTTTCCAAGACCCAACTCAGCATGGGGGCCATGAAACTGGAGTTGGTCACCAGTTCCATGGCTGATTCACATGCAAGTCCACCAGTGGCCTGAAGACAAGCTCTGGATACATCTGCACAAATTACTGTAATGGAGCTGTCAAGTGAACAAATGATTGAAAGCAGATGAAGAAAAGAATTATCTCACAGGCATTCAAACAAAACACCGACAAGATATGGAATGCCAACAGTGTATCGTGAAACAAATGTGACACTTTAATAATAAAAAACACAACCACAAAGAAGCACTGTATTTTCCCTCTATTATATTAGTAAATACACAGAACAACAACAAAATAAATGGACTTACTTTCAACTACTGGTTCTTATACACCCACGAATATGGATCAGAATTACTTGTGGATGTATTAAAAAATATATTGAAGTCTAGGTAGGCCTCAGTCTGAGGTTGCAGCAGGAGTCAGAGTCAGAACCCAGGCATTTTTTTTTACAAGCTCTTCGGATAGCTGAATTTCCTGCTGGTTAAGTCTCTGATTTTAGGTTGACTTGCGTACTTTGGGTTTTTTGGGTCGCTGTGTCAGGGTTCGGGGGGCTTTTTTCGCAGATTTACTAGCAGCAGTGAAGAGCTTGGCCTCTGGCTTCTCGGGAGTCTGTCTTGGGTCTTTACTGCCCAGTGAAGAGTTTCTTTCTTTCGCCGCCTGTTCTTTGACTCTGGCCTTCCCCCCTGGGCCTTTCCCTGGGGTCTTGGCCTCCGCAGCTCCTGGGGTCTCCAGGGCTGGGGAGGCCTTTCTCTTCTTCCCACGGGCTGTGTTGGGACCAGGACTCTTTCTTGGACACTTCTTTCCTGCGGCAGCTTTTTGTATCTAAGAAAAAGAAACAGGTGGTGAATATGGGCCAGACTACTGACAACATAACCCAAAGAGCTTCTGTTCTTAAAATTTAGAGAGCCCCTAAAAGGCACACTGCAGCACAGAGAGTAAGGAATGGCCTTTTCCTTGTGACTTGCAAACATTTTAAAAGGCAGCTGCATTTCATTATTAACAACTGTAGAAAGGACCCTAGCATCTTCTTGGTCCAATCAGAGGAAAAGCATCTTCTCCTATGGCTGGGGCTAAGGGTCCGGGAAGCACGCACTGGGAGCATGGCAGGGAGACCTGTGACCTCATCCTGACTCTTCTTCACCCCCAGGAGTAAATTCCCCATATGTGGGTTAGGGCCGTGGGTTACCCTGCTGAAAACCAGGTTGGTTGGCTGGTTACCCAGTGAAAATCAACTGTGGGGCATGTTAGAAAAAAGCGGGGACTGTACTCCAGGCTGGGACGCCTGGATTTTCCAAGCACCCTGGATGATCCAAGGATAACATTCCAGCAATGGATTGTGTCCCACACAGAGAGACAATATAGACAAAACCACCAACAGGACTTTGTTTCTGACAATATAAAACAACAGATGGAAATTTTGAAAAACATTAAAAATATGATGAAACTTTTCTATCTTTCCCCAAATTTTCTAGGTGGTTCAAAAGGCACACACACTTCAACACTCTTTTCCAACCATGCCACACAGCTTGTGGGATCTTAGTTCCCCAACCAGGGATTGAACCTAGGACCACGGCAGTGAAAGCGCCAAGTCCAACCACTGGACCTCCAGGGAACTGCCGACACCTGAATACTCTTGAATTGTTATCACCCCAGCAGCGATGCTTTCCCCTCTTTAATCTCCAGCATACCACCTTCCAGTCACATTAAAACAAACACAGCTTACTTCTTCTAGAAACAATTACACTGCTTACAGTAAACATACTGATCACCAACATTAATTTCAAGTATATTAAAAAAATCTCAATAGCACTTTGGGGATACTTTAAAAAGGAATATTTTCACCAACAGAGGAAAATTATAATTTTGTTGAAGATTTTAAGGATTACTGTTATAAAAATACACAGAACATGTAAAGTGTAGTGATAGCCATGGGACGACCCTGATGGGCTGTGCCCAGAGATGCTGTGAGTCTCCCAGACACATCACGAGGGCCACCCTCCAATCTCTTAAAAAGGACCCACTGCTCCCCTCTGAGTCTCTCCCCAGTAGCTGGATGGAGTGAAAACATTAACAAAGCACCCCAAAATAAAAAAACTTCAGTTCCTTATAACCACCTCCTCTGAAACCCATGAAGTCAGACTTCAGTTAAGAGCCACGCAGGGCCGAGTGTTTGAAAAGTTGTCAGAAGCGGGACCCAGCACCCCGGTTTCCTCTCAGGTAAGTTTTCTGAGATGAATGATGTGGTGACTGAGGACTCACCTTCGGAAACTCAATCTGCTCTTCAAAACCACAGGCAACATGGTTGAATTATTAGCATTATTAATATGGCTGTGTCTCCCTTGATTCCAAGGTACATGAAGAAAGCCTTGGCTGACTACACATCACTCCAGTATTTAAGGAGGGAGGCAGAGTCAGTCAAAGGTTCTTGGGGCTCACCCTGGTATTTTTCATCCCTTGGTTCACAAATTTTTACAAGAGCTGCCTCCCAGGTGTAGCACTTCCTGCCCCTCAGCAGTGCCTGCTGGCACACGTGGGCCCCAGAACCAACCACAATGGGCACCAGTATTAATGAAAATACCTTGGTGCTTCCTGCAGCTGGAGTTTCCTCCAATGGCACCAGCAATGGGATTTCATCTTCAGAATCGCCCTGTGCTTTAGGCAGGGTGCTCACCCCACCAGTCTCCTTCTGGGGTGCAGGGTCCTGGGCTGGAGCACCCCCAGTTTTGGGAGCCGCCGCGTCTGTCAGGGCAGGTTTGGCCTTTCTAGCCTGCTTCAGAAGCTTCTTCTCTTTCTTCTCCTGCTGTCTTTTAAGAGCTCTTGACTTCTTCTTTCGGCTTTTCTTTGATACCTCCAAAAACAACCAAGCATAACTTTAAGGGTAGAATCTTCTTAGCACGCGCAGTCAGGTCTTTCACTGGCTCCTGAAAGGGCCTAGACTTGCACAAGACCCAAGCAAAGCCCCACTGCCACCACTTGAAACCCAATGTCACTTGTCTCATATCCACAGCCAAAGATGCATTTTATGTGGCAAATTCTATCCAGAATCTGAGTATGTAAAGCGTGTAGTCACCGGCTGCGTGGAAGTCAACTTTGTCTATAGGCTGAGTTACGAATAATCCAGAACTGTACAGTATGTGTTGTGAAACAGATGGTCTTCCACACATGGAGGGTTCCATATCTACAGACTCAATCACATGTGAATCAAAAATGTTCTGGGCGGGGATCCCCAAAGCTCCAAACAGCAAAACTTAACTTTGCTGCACTCTGGCAACTGTTTACATAGCATTCACACTACATTCAGTATTATAACCTAAAGATGACTTAAAGTATATGGGAGGATGTGTGTAGTTTAACTTACATATGGGACATTGTTTTTCAGGCACAAAAACAAAACCAAAAAAAAAAAACACTCATTAGACACATGGATGAACATGGCTGGAGAAAGACTGAATCAACTAGGAGACTGGTCCAACCAATAACAAAAGGTTCCCTTTTCTCTCTTTACAGTAGTACCAGCAGTACTTAAAACCCACAAACCAGAACCAAGAGGCATGTCAGCCTCAAGCAGTCTTACATTTTGCCCACGAATAACCAAGTACTCAACAGCCTAGATTTTGGGTTTCCTCTTCCTCTCAACCTCTCTTGTAGGCTCTTCTGAACCTCTGTTCTCTCTTCTTGAGCTGTGCTTACAGACATGATGAAGCCTGTCCAGGATATGAACTTCTACTAACCTTTTTCAACAGGTCTCGTGCGCGGAGTCCCTGGGCTTCGCCCTGACAGCTGACAAAGGACGAGAAGACAGGCAGGGACACTGACCGCTCAGTCTTCACGAACAAGAGCTTCACGCTCTCCCACTTCTGAAACACAGAACAGCAACATCACCCGTGCGGGATTTGCTTCTTTGATATGAAGGACGGACTGCGAGACATCTGCGAGACCGTACCTCTGGCAGTTTCTGTGAGAGCCTTTCTGCAACAGCAACGACATTTTCAACGATGTGCTCAGTCGGCATCCCCGTGTGACCAATGCGGATAGTGCTGAAAAAGCATCCGACACAGAGATATGAAAACATAGCTTGTTTCTCAGAATAAAGCATAGGCTGGTAAATGAGAAACAGAAGTACACAACCCAAACATTTTTTTTAGGGTCGAAACGTTAAGATCTTTAGGTCCTCCATTTAAGAGACGATCACCTTTCCTGCTCTAGAAGAAATACCCTCCTCCTGAAACATCCGGAGGTGATGAGCCGCTGCTCTCTGGTGACCCAGATGGGGGAATCCAGGAGGGAGGGGTCCGTGTATGGGTGCGGCTGAGTCACTTCACGGTACAGCAGAGACCACCGCAGCTTTGTGAGGTCACCATACCCCCGCCAGCAAGCAGGAAGTGAGCGAGAGGCTGGCAGGGCCAGTGGGGAGGGCCGCCGGGAATCCCACCTGCATTCTGGAGAACACGGGTCCCCAGGCCAGCCCCTCAAGCTTTGAGGGTGATAATCCCCAAGAGTGGCTGTTCTGGAAAGGACCCACTCCCAGGAGGACCACTTGCTATCTTTAGAGCCCCACTGCCCTGACGCAGCATCCGTTGCTCGTGGAATAGCATCTTCTGGCTGAGAGCAAAACTATCTCCTCAGCTGAAGCAGAGGGCACCCACGGGCCAGTGGAGAGCCTGCAAGTGCCCAGAGCTCAGCCACCAGGTCCCCAGGTCCTGCCAGCTCCCACTCTCCCTACCAGGGGAGCTGACAGGCAGGCTGGCTGTTGGTGGGGTATGTGCAGAATGAGGGTGACATGGGCTGGTGATCCCACCTCTCTCAAACCAAAGAAGGGGTCGCCCATTCTGTGTGCCCACTGGCATCGACCTGAAGCGTAGCCTGAACCAGGCCTCTGACCCTCAAGCTAACTGCTTCCCATGAACCACTACTTTCAGGTCAGCCTATAATCTATAGAGTGGGGGGTCCAGGCCTGACCATCAACTCTACTGAGCTGCTTAACTCACCCAAGTAGGAGGGTTCCCACCTGCAGGCAGAAGATGACACCAGAGTCCACCAGTCTCCCCAGCCATGCCCTGCTCTAACTCGCCCGGAGACACTGCTGAGGGCTGGCCTCCCTGGTGAGCAGAGCCAAGACACCCTGTTTTGTTATGGAGGTGACCAGAGTCGACATGGGCTTCTGGGGAATCTCCGGGTGGAAAGGCTCTATAGCCCTGCCCTACTGGCAGACGCCTAGCCCCACACCAGATGTCCCAGCCATCAGATCACATACTTTATGAAATGATGCTGAATTATGTTCCTCCACCAACTCAAACATAACCCTCCCTTCAGGCAGTCAAACCCAACCTGCTTCTCAGTCTATTAAAAAAAGGCAAAAGGCTGAGCCGCTACCTGTCCACCTGAACGCTGGGATGCAGCCACTGCCCTGAAAGGCCTTTGGTGTGTGTGTGGGGGGGGGGGGGGGGTCCCACCCAGCTCAGCACTCCAGGAAGGAGAAGCTCCACGAGGCCATGCCGAGATATAAGACAGGCTGGTGAAACGGGGGATGCGCAACGCACTTCTCAAGAAGTTAAAGCAAGACTGAGGTGGGCCTGGACTTTAAAGGATAAATGATGCTGGTCAACACAGAAGCCCAGAGCTACTAACGTTCCCTAAGCATTGGTCTTATTCTCCTGTTTTCCTGAACACCCAGAGGTGCCCTGTCCAATATGGTAAAAGTCAGCAGACACGCCTTTTAAAATTCAGCTAAAATCAAGGGGTTGGAAGTTTGGTTCCTCAGCTGCAGCAGCCACATCACGAGCTCAGCAGCCACGTGTGGCTTTTCTCCTAAGAGACCGCACAGCCACAAACCATCTCCAGCACTGTGGAAAGTTCTAGGGGGCAGCACCGTTCTAGGAACTGAATGCTTCTAAGGAATGAATTTTAGTTTTAACTGAAGAGTCTGATTTGATTCACACCATCTTATAAATGTTTATACAGCCACCGTTGTTGTCGTTCAGTCACTGAGTCATGTTCGACTCTTTGCAACCCCAATAAAACCATTTCTAAACATAAAATTAAACAGAGGCACACCTTCATGCCTTTTACCTACCTGCAAGAGCCGCTCTTAGAGATGTTTAAGACCGTTCCCCCAATGCAGTCGTTGATCTCTCTAGATAAAGTCTTGGACTGAAGGTTTACAGATACTGGAACCCTAGAACAACACAATGGCTCTTTACCGCAGCGCACACACAGCCGTGAACGTCACGTTACTCAAGTCCAGGCACAGCTGAGAAACTTACTTCTTTCTGTTGTAGAAATGCCTCCCCAGATGTGAGGGCAAGAGCCGCCTGATCCTGGCATCTGTAATGAAGAAGTCAAAACTACCCAAGAGGCGGAGCTTGGCTTCATAGGCTTTATATTCCTTTTTTAAAGTTCGGAGGGGGATAATCTAGAAAATTTAAGAAAATGTAAAAACATGAATATACAGAATAGAAACAGACTCAGTGACACAGCAAACAAACTTATGGTTACTGGGGGCGGGGGTAGGCGGTGGACAAATTAGGAGTTTGGGATCAACAGATACAAAACAATATTGTAAACCAACTATACTTTGATTAAAAAGAAAAAGGAGAAAGAAAGCAGAGGGGGGAAAAAAAAGAAAGTGTAACAACACAAAAAAACTAAGAACCTGGACAAGAAGAAGAAATACAGGGACAATCTGTGTTTAGATTTTAAAAAGCCCTGGAGTCACAGCTGAGTGGACACGAATGTGCCTGAAACAGCACAGGCACTAGGATGAATGCTGGGGACACAAAGGAATGAGCGGGACCCTCAGCTAAAGACACCGCACCACCAACTACAGAGAGGGCGGGAAGCGCCGAGCCAGAGGCAAACCCAGGACACCCCGAAGGAGAAAGGAGCAATTTGTGTAAAACAGAGCAACTTGTGTAAAATCTTCAAGATAGAAACATCACTGATGCACATGTAGAGCTCTTAGGCCAACAAACCTCAACAGCTCATTCGTTACAAGGTAGAGTGAGTATGCCCTACCCAAAGCCAATGAGAGTTAAAAAGGGAAAATTAACTTAAAAATTAAATTCCCAAGAGAGGAACATGTACTAGGTAATGTATTATTTGTCTCTTTAACTGAAATCTTTTTTGGGGGGTGCAGGCAGCAGGGAGAGCCAACAGGCATGAAGGATCTCAGTTCTCTGACCAGGGCTTGAACCCAGGGCCCCTGCAGTGGAAGCACAGGATCTTAACCACCAGACCACCAGGGAAGACCCTCCTGTCACTTCAACTGAATCCAATCTTTACTTGTCTTGAAATATTAACCTGCTCCCTACCTGAGAAATGGTTTTGATCCCATGCTTGTTTAGAAGCTTCTTATAAAAACGCTCTGTCTGTTCAGAGCTTAAATTGGGTTCATCTTTGGTAAATAAACAAACATCTGCTAAATCTGATCGAATACCATGAGGCAAAGACCTGCAAAATACATGAGACAAACCAAGGAATAAGGCATTATAACTGATCATATATATGTTTATATTCCACAGAATACACAATAAATCCAGTCATTTCAATAAACTTTATTCATTTTTTTTAAACAAATATGCTACTGAGCACAGCACACACATACACAGTTTTCAATGGTACAGAAAAGTTAAGATTCAAGTACTAAATCACCACAAATATCCACAGACCGAAATACCATTAACATTTGGGATACGATTAAGAGTTAAAATATATCAAGGACACTCAAAATAGTATAAACGTAACTATTATTTGGCCACAACACACATGGCATTTTAGTTCCTTCCAGGATTCAAACCTGTGCCTCCTGCATTGGAAGGTGGAATCCTAACCACTGGCCCACTAGGGAAGTCTGATCATTATTTTATATGTTTGCTATATATACATATGTACTATGAAGTGCTAGAATAATCCAGTTTCATCATGGCATTTCTGGTTCAGAATGCCACCTTGCAGAAACCTCTGGGCTCCATAATCATAACTCTTAAGAGCTAAAACAGAAAACCCAGCAAACCTACAGGGACCAGCAAACATGCATTATGCTGAGTCTCAAAAAGGGAAAAAAGGCTTAGCTCGGGTGCTAGGTCTGTGTCCTGAGGAAACATTTCCTTAGTTTAAGAGGAGAGCAAGCCACAGCAGCAGGACTTGGACAATGAGATGCCAAGTGGCAGAAATCACAAAGAGGTGAGCAGCTGGGAAAGTAACCTGGAGAATGTGAGGGCAAAAGTGTGGAATAAAGAAAGACACAGCCAGATATGTAAAGCAGTAACTAAAACAACATGGCTAGCGCTGTTCACCGGGTTGAGTTAAGAGAGTCTGAGGGTTAAAAGGGTCTTCCCAATTTGTAAACATTCTTAAAAAAAAAAAAAATTGTTTTTAGATGTCTTCATTGACTTTGTTAGTGTTTCTGTTTTTTTGTTTTTGGCCAAGAGGCATGGGGGAATCCCAGCTCCCCAATCAGGGATGGAACTTGCACCCCCATGCATTAGAAAGTGAAGCCCTAACCACTGGACATCTGCGGGTAACATCTCCAATTGCAGTTATTCATAACCCCTATCCTCCACCCTTATGGGGGAAAGAAAAGCTATCCCACACCCTGCTTTCTATAACAGAGTCAGCTTTGGAAATGAAGGATTTCAGAGAGGCAGATTACCAGACAGAATATAGGACACCCAGTTAAACCTGAAACATTTTTTTAAGTATAATTATGTCCCCATGCTGCATGGGACCTACTTATACTAACAAAAAAATTCCCCTGTATTTTTATTTGCTAAGTCTGGCATCTTTGACCTAAGAGTTCTAGCAATAAGCATGTGTAATCTTCATGGGTTTCTTTTCTGTAAGGAATTCACGGTCAAATTTTTAATAGTCTCTGTATATAGGAATGAGTTTAGCACCTCAGTAATTTTAGCTTGGAACTAGTTTGACATGGAAAGATAAAAGATTCTATAAAAATACAAAAGCTGCTTCATTTATTCTAACCTTTGTCCTCTCAAAAACCAGGTTTTCAGATTCAACAGAACTGAGTTTGGCTTTGGTCAAACCATCCACCAACCATTCAGAAAACTGATGGAATTTTTAGAAAATTTAAGCATGTCTAAATTCGATGGTTTTCAAATTAGGTATTTTGAGTTTGCAAAGTTTCTACCAAAACCTAAGTTGACAGTTGTTAAAGTTCCACAAAACAGCCAACCAGTTAAGACCAGCAGAAGTAGAAGACAAGAACTTACAATCTGACTCTCAGTTCTTTACTTGGAATTTTCCATAATACCACCATTAAAAAGAAATTTTCATTCTCATTCAGAAGTAATCCTTTCGCGTTTTTCCTGGATCTGGAATGTGCCAACAGAGCCTCCACTGCCTTCTTAACCTGCAAAGTGGAGATACACAAGTCAGTCAAATTTCAATTGAATTCAGCAAAATTCAGAATCTAGCCCCTCCCCAGAATTTGCCACTGCTTCAATTTCTATTTTCGCAGGTAATCTCCACAACCATACTCATCAAGGATGTGCAATTTATAATCAGGGGAATGCAGCCACCTGAAGTCCAGTGGTTAAGACTCTGAGTTTCCACTGCAGGAGACAAAGGTCCCCGCAAGGCCAAAACAAAACATCAAGCGGCAGCATGCTTCCCCTGCACTCAACAATGAGGTCAGCAAACCCCATAAAAGCGCAGTACATCTGCATCGCACGTTTTCTGAGTGCTTATTACGTGCCAGGCGCCCCCTGGCCCCTTGCTTTGTTTGCATCACCTTCTCTGATCCTGGAGAGCGGAGCCCACTTTTAAATGCGAGCAAGTTACCGACGACCAAGCGACTTGGCCGAACTGCAGGGGGTATGTGTGCACGCACAGCTTATTCACCTTGCTGTATAGCGGAAACTAATACAACGTTGCAAAGCACCTACACGCCAATTAAAATTAACAAAAAATTAAGCTTTCTAATTTGCAGCTTTATTTCTAACAAAGCCTAATTTTCAGAATGTTAAAGGGAAAACCAGTCCATCCTAAAGGAAATGAGTCCTGAATATTCATTGGAAGGATTGATACTGAAGCTGCAACTTTGGCCACCTGATGGCAAGAACTGACTCACTGGAAAAGACCCTGATGCTGGAGAAGATTGAAAGCAGGAGGAGAAGGGGACGACAGGGGATGAGATAGTTGGAGGGCATTGCTGACTCAATGGACATAAGTTTGAGTAAACTCTGGGAGTTGGCAATGGACATGTAGGCCTGGTGTGCCGCGGTTCATGGGGTCGCAAAGAGTTGGACACGATTGAGTCACTGAACTGAAAAGGAAAACTTAGTAGGACCTTAGAAAAGCATTCTTTTAGAATATCCAGAAGGAGTCAAATCAGTCGTGTGGTTTTCAAGGTATAATTTGGGCCTGTTTTAGAGACATTCCCTTTTCTCTTGCCCCACTGTATTGCTGTTATAAGGTGATTTCTTTTGTGTTCTGATACCTACTCATCTTGCAAAAAACTTAAAATATTTAAGCAATGTTAAACTCGGAGAAGGGGACAGCAGAGGATGAGATGGTTGGATAGCATCACTGACTCTATGAACATAAACTCTAGGAGACAGTGAAGGACAGGGGAGCCTGGCATGCTCTGGTTGAACATGACTTAGCGATGGAGCAACAAAAACTCTGTAAGGCAGTTCAAAACGGAGTCACAGTGGCCAGCATGAACTTCTGTATCAGTTGTTTTAAAACATCTGCTAGCAATTTCCCTGGTGGTCCAGTAGCCAAGACTCTGTACTTCCAATGCAGGGACCTGGGTTCCAACCCTGGTCAGGGAGCTAGATGCCACATGCAGCAACCAAGAGTTTCCACATGAGGCCACTAAGACCCAAATCTGTCAAATAAATTTTTTTAAAAACCTGCTGTAACAGACAAATGGATAAGGAAGCTGTGGTACATATACACCATGGAATATTACTCAGTCATTAAAAAGAATTCATTTGAATCAGTTCTAATGAGATGGATGAAACTGGAGCCCATTATACAGAGCGAAGTAAGCCAGAAAGATAAAGACCATTACAGTATACTAACACATATATATGGAATTTAGAAAGATGGTAACTATAACCCTATATGCAAAACAGAAAAAGAGACTCAGATGTATAGAACAGACTTTTGGACTCTGTGGGAGAAGGCGAGGGTGGGATTTCAAGAGAACAGCATCGAAACATGTATATTATCTAGGGTGAAACAGATCACCAGCCCAGGTTGGGTGCATGAGACAAGTGCTCGGGCCTGGTGCACTGGGAAGACCCAGAGGGATCGGGTGGAGAGGGAGGTGGGAGGGGGGACCGGGATGGGGAATACATGTAAATCCATGGCTAATTCATTCCAATGTATGACAAAAACCACTGCAATGATGTAATTAGCCTCCAACTAATAAAAATAAATGGAAAAAAAAATAAAGGCAAAAAAAAAATAAACTCGGAGAAGGGGACAGCAGAGGATGAGATGGTTGGATAGCATCACTGACTCTATGAACATAAACTCTAGGAGACAGTGAAGGACAGGGGAGCCTGGCATGCTCTGGTTGAACATGACTTAGCGATGGAGCAACAAAAACTCTGTAAGGCAGTTCAAAACGGAGTCACAGTGGCCAGCATGAACTTCTATATCAGTTGTTTTAAAACATCTGCTAGCAATTTCCCTGGTGGTCCAGTAGCTAAGACTCTGTACTTCCAATGCAGGGGCCTGGGTTCCAACCCTGGTCAGGGAGCTAGATGCCACATGCAGCAACCAAGAGTTTCCACATGAGGCCACTAAGACCCAAATCTGTCAAATAAATGTTTTTTAAAAACCTGCTGTAACAGACAAATGGATAAGGAAGCTGCGGTACATATACACCATGGAATATTACTCAGTCATTAAAAAGAATTCATTTGAATCAGTTCTAATGAGATGGATGAAACTGGAGCCCATTATACAGAGTGAAGTAAGCCAGAAAGATAAAGACCATTACAGTATACTAACACATACATATGGAATTTAGAAAGATGGTAACGATAACCCTATATGCAAAACAGAAAGAGACACAGATGTATAGAACAGACTTTTGGACTCTGTGGGAGAAGGTGAGGGTGGGATGTTTTGAGAGAACAGCATCGAAACATATATATTATCTAGGGTGAAACAGATCACCAGCCCAGCTTGAATGTATGAGACAAGTGCTCGGACCTGGTGCACTGGGAAGACCCAGAGGGATTGGGTGGAGAGGGAGGTGGGAGGGGGGATCGGGATGGGGAACACATGTAAATCCATGGCAAAAAAAAAAAAAAGATTGTTAGGGGGAAATCCTTGATACTTATCTGTATTAATGTTAACACCTTGGCTAATGGAATAGTGTAAAAAAAAAAAAAAACCTGCTGTAAGACTGCAAGTGTCTCAGAGTGGTAAACTGAGAGTGTTACTTTAGATGAGAAATTCGATGGGCAACGTGTGTGGAACAGAAGGAGCAACTGATAGAGCCATGACCCACTCCCCTGTAATAACTGTGTGCGCCAAGTCTCTTCAGTGGTGTCTGACTCTCTGGAACCCCATGGATCCACCAGGCTCCTCTGTCCATGGGATTCTCCAGGAAAAAACCCTGGAGTGGGTTGCTGTTTCCTTCTCCAGGGGATCTTCCCCACCCAGGGATCAAACCCTGCGTCTCTTATGTCTCGGGCACTGGCAGGTGGGTTCTTTACCACCACTCCTCAAAATGAGACCCCGGAGCCGAGAGACGTGAAGTCTCCTCGCTGGAAGGCCCGTCTCCACGCTGCTGAGAGCTGTTTCAAACGGATACTGCCGGAGGCCTTGTTTCAGCAGGAGCCTGCTTCCCTCCGGGTTTGTTAAAGAGACCAACTGCCGGATGCTTCTTGTGCTGCGACGCCTCCTCTCAGGACTTCTCTTCGGAGGCTACTCTGTGTTCTGCGCTAGTTATTTGCAATCAACTGAGAGATTTATGAATTAGAAGAAACAAAAGCAAAAAAGGGCAAACGGCAGGGAAGCAGAGCCAGATGGGCCTCACCCCAGGGCCCCAAAGTATACCTAAAATCCAACCCAAGGTAAGGGACTCGCTTGGCGGTCCGGCGGTTAAGACTCTGAGCTCACACTGCAGATGGCACGGGTTTCATCCCTAGTCGGGGAACTAGAACCCCGAGAGCCGCGCGGAGAGGCCATTAAAAAAAAAAAAAAATCAACAGAGCCAGGCCGCAGGGCTGGAGGAGGCGGGCGTCTAGCCGGCTGTTTAAGGCAGCAGGAGAGCGGAGGACACCGCGAACGAGCGACCCTAAGCCCAGAAGGCCTCCACACCGGCGCGGAGCCCGCTCTCGGAATCCGCGACTCACAAGGCCTCGGCTGCCCCGCTTCCAAACTCCCCGCCCAGGGGCCACTCACCTGCTCTTTGTCCAGCTTCTCCGGGCCGGCCGGGGTCTCTGGAGTCGAAGCTGAAGTCTCGGTTGAAGTTGACGGCGGGGTAGAAGCCGAAGCTTCCATGTCGCCCTCACCGCGTGGAGACTCGCGTGCAGACCCTGGAGCGCGCTCTCTTTGCGCACGCGTGGATCCAAGCCCGTAGCCGGAAGCTGGGAGGCGGGAACCGGATGGTCGCGTCACTTCCGGGAGCGCGGGGTCGAGCGCTTCGGCGTCGGGGCGTTAGGGATTGGCGGGCTCTAGCAAACTGAGGTAGGTTCTCCGTTTGCGATCTGAGTCTCTAAGACGAGGGGCATGGATGCCTCTCAAGTTTCTTCAGCTCCCGGTGTCTGTGAGGAGGGGGGAGCAGCCTGGCAACGCCTGGCTCTCACTCTTCCCCGAAAGCGGGCGAGCACCCTGAAGCGGAAAGGGAGGCCAGTCCGCCCACCTGGTGGGGCCACCCGCTCTGGGTGGACCCCGACTTTGGAGCAGGAGGCGCGGGGGGTGGGGAATCTGGCCCCACCACCTACCTACCGGGTGACCTGGGGCGACCCCCCCGCCGGCTGGTGACGGTTCCGTGCACTGGAAACACTGGGCGAGTAGTTAAGCGGTGTGGGGCCCGAACGGTGAGCCGGGGCCTGTCTCCTGAGCTTCGAGTTTCACAGAGGCGGGAGGTAAGAGCAAGTGCAGGTAACCGTGCAGACTGGAGAACGGGAGAAGGCCCCTCTCCCTCCCCGCGGCCCCACCTGTTTCCCCTGGAGCTTTCCAGGGATGTTCTACGTATGTTCAGGAAATACTTATACTTTCTTCTCTTTATGGATGGCTGGGCTTCAATTTAGTTTTTTTTTCTTTTTTAAGACAAGTAGTAGGCTCTATACCCATCGTTCTGTACGTTGCCCGTTTCTCTTAAAGTATGTTAGAAGTTGTCCAAGTCAGTACTTAAGGCTTTGTCTCTTTTTTTTTTTAACGGCCATATGGCCTTTCACCACGGAAGTAAACCAGAGTTTTTTTAGGAGCTTTTTAATGGATATTCAGGATGGCTCGTTTTGCAAAGAGCTACAGATACATGTATATGTATGGCTGAGTCCATCTGCTGTCCACCTGAAACTGTCACAACATTGTTAATTGGCTATACTCCAATACAAAATAAAAAGTTTAATTAAAAAGATTAAGTACAAACTACTGTACATGAAATAGATAAGCAGCAAAGATTTACTGATAAATTAGCTGAATCGCTGTGTTGTACACTTGAAACTAACACTATATTGTAAATCAAATATGTTTCTTAAAAAGCTGTGAAAATTTTAATATGAAAGAATGGGAGTGGGATGCCTTCCATGTCAGTGGCTTTCAAGGAAATGCTCCTTCCTCATTGCCAAAGCTGAAAAGGAGTTCTGCTGTTCTCTAATACTGACTTTGTCTTTTTTTTAATTATTGAAATACAGTTAATTTACAGTATTATGTCTTTTGTTTGTTTTGTCTTTAACCTAAAACTTGTAGGAAAAATGTTCTAAACCTTTGGCACCCATTCCCAGCTGCCTGTTCTAGAATCTGTTTAGAATTCCATTTAGAATTCCAGATTCACTTGCTAGCAGATTGGAATTCATTTTAACATGATAATGAGCTGTTACTTTAGGCTTCATGTAGTGTGTCTCCTAGTATTCTGAAAAGAGCATCGAGGCTGCCACATGTTGTGTCACCTGAATTCAAGTCAAGAACCAGACTTCCAGGCCTAGGGAACAGCATGAATTCAGGTAAAAGAGGATGGTGGTGTTTGGAAGTCCTAAGTGGCTGGAGTAGGGATGCACAGAGGGGAGAAAGAGATGAGGAAGGTTAAGGAATTTATTATCAAGCTGAAGTTTTATATTTTGGAGAAACCATACGGATGCAAGTTTTTTGAACTGGTGTCAGGGAGGAAGAGGAATTAGTGATGAATTAGACTTTAGGAAAGTTGATCTTTCTGTGGTATTGTAGTGGTTAAAAGAGTCATATGCCCACAAATTCACTGAAGCTTTAAGTGATGGAGTTTCATTTCCCTATCCCTTGAGTAAGGGCTCGACTTAATGATTGGCTTTTGGTAAATAGAATAGAGCAGAAGTGAGGGGATGGCACTTTGGAGATTAGGTTATAAAAAGACTATAGGTTCAACCTTAAGTGTTCTTTTCCCCTTGCTCTTTCTGTTGTTCAAATTACTTTCTCTGGGTGAAGCTTTGAGAAGTCCTGAGACTACTTAGGCAACCAAGTGAGACTTTCCTGGTGGTCCCATGGTTAAGACTCCAAGCTTCCACTACAGAGAGAACTAAGATCACACAGGCTGCACAGCAAGGCTGAAAAGAAAAAAGCAAACTGGAAATACATGAGATTGCCAAAGGAAGCAGCAGAGAGAATAGAGGTTTGGAGAAACCCTCAATTAGGAGACAGGAAGAAAAAGAGCCTATAAAATCAAGAAATAGTTTAGGATGTAAAAGAAAACCAAGAGGGTGCTTAGGAATGGAGAAGTGAGGATGTGTTAATACCATAAATACTGAAGAACTGAAAAGCCATTTGTTGGGCAGTTAAGTCATGGTGACCTTATAGAAAACAATTTCAGTGAAAGGATTATGAGAGAGATGAGTAAGAGAGGAAAAAGATGGAACATTGGTATCTTTTAAGTTTTTATTTACCATTAGGGCAGATGAACGTGAAAGTGAAGCCACTCAGACTTTTTGCGACCCCAAGGACTGTAGCCTAACAGGCTCCTCCGTTCATGGGATTTTCCAGGCAAAAATACTGGAGTGGGTTGCCATTCCCTTCTCCAGGAGATCTTCCTGACCCAGGAATTGAACCCGGGTCTCCCTCATTGTAGGCAGATGCTTTACCATCTGAGCCACCAGGGAAGCCCAGGCTAAGGCAGATGAAGTAAGTGAAAATATTTTTGTGTCCCAGGGAATCCTTTATATTGCCAGTTCTCCTTACTATCAATGATAACGTATATAATAGCATTTGCTTATCTACCTCTCTGTCTTCTCTGGTGACTCAGTCGGTAGAGTCTGCCTGCAATGCAGGAGACATGGGTTCAATCCTTGGGTCAGGAAGATCCCTTGGAGAAGGAAATGGCAATCCACTCCAATATTCTTGCCTGGGAAATCCTATGGACAGAGGAGCGTGGCGGGCTAGTCCATAATATAGATTTATATAGATATAAGTGCTATGTCAACTTCTATAGCATTTGTTGAATTACTAGTTAGCATTTTTTATTTCTCCACAGATTGAGCATCTGTGGTCTTATCCTATTCACTTTCAATCCATAGGTCGCAACTCATGTATGTACTTACCACCAAGGAGTTTACAGCTTAACAGGGCAAAGTAAGACCTATGAGGCAAGATGTGATCAATGCTGTAATTTTTATAAGCTGCCACATGAACTCAGATTACTTACAAACTGAAAGAATAGCAATAATAAGAGTTCTTCTCTAAATTTAGTGTTTTCACTGTTATGTGATAGTGACTGTTGATTAGTTTGTTTCCTCTATGCACTAGATTGAGTCCTTTCAGACCAGAACTGGCGTTCAAGTTTACTTGGTACACACAGGGTCTGCGTGACCCATAGTGAGTGGACACTGAATCTGTGGATCCCTTCTTACCTTCTGAAGCTTTACTCTTTTATTCCATTGTCTTCATTTTCCTCTTCTCCAGTAGCTGTCTTTGTGCTTCATGTGTGTTTTTAAGAATTAGTGCCATCCTGTTTTTTTCCCCTACCTTTTTCTGTCTTTGTAGTCAAGTGCTTTCAGCTTTCTCCTAACTCCATCATTTCAATCACACTATACTATTCCCTCTAAAGTCACCAATGACCTTTTAATTCAAATAATTAAAAAAAAAACCCTCATTCTTTTTGCTCTGTTGTATTTGAAACCATTCTCATGTTCAGTGAAATTTCTCAAGGAATTTTACCCCTTCCTAAATATTCATGCCTGCTATTTATTAAGACCTGAATTAACCATTGGTGAGCATTAGTTTTAAATGTGAATTGTACTTCATTTGTTTCTGTATAGATGTAGTTGCTACAATATGTTATTTAACTTTAGGGTTTATGCTGGAAAATATTTTACTCTTATCAATTAGTCTTTTAAAGAAACTAACCCAAAAAACTAATCCATATTATTCTATAAAATTTCACTCAGTACCTGAGGGTAAATATTTCATTCATAAATTAACTTAAATTTTTCTTAAACTGCTGTCAATCCTACCTCTCCTTTTTAAAACTTTTTAAACTCAAGATACTGTTGAACACACACAAGATTAATACTCTGTAAACTCTATCCAGACTCCACCTACTTACATTATTTATGCCCATCCTTTATCCACTTATAAATGAATTAAATATGATAATTGCCAGCCAAAATGAAAATTGTACTTGAAAAGGAATAATAAAGGCAGTTCTATCAGTGGAGATTGAGTTAAAGGAAAAGCAGTTAAGTGTCTTGAACCATATGTGCAAATTGCTTTTTAAAAATTAATACATAACATCTTGGGGAAGAAATCAAAGTAATTAGCATGTACATTTCTAATGGAACAATTACTAAGTTTTGTAGTGTTTCTGTTCTAGTAAGAATAAGTAAGAGTCAGTCAACATTTTGAGTACCCAGGCTCACTGAATACTATTGTTTCCCTGAAGGTACTAAAAGAGGTCTCTCTTTATTCTTGAAATTTTTTTAGTAGTTGCAAAATCTGCCTGCTTATTAACAAAATGGCATCAACTATATGCAAAGTAGTATATAATCATATAAAGGATTTAGTAAATCATAATGCAACTACCTGCTAAGAATGTATGAAGATGTTACTGGATGGTAAACAAAGTTTAATAACAAATTTAATAATGGAGCTCAAATTCTAGTTACTTGAAAATAAATATTTGCTAGAATCAACTAGTAAATCTAGACAGCCTTGCAGAATTAGGATAATTATTAGTACAAATAGCAAAACAAGCCATATAGTTAAATATCCAATGTCTGGGTTATCTAAAAGCAATTTTTAAAATGTTCTGTCAGTGTCCTCAAGATCCATCCTGGTATTGAAATTTGCTAGAAAATATTGATCTAGGCATGAGG